TAATCCCACTTTCTTTCTTTAGTTTAATGTTATTAGATGCTGTTAAAAATATAGCTGAAGCTTGCTCAAATAAATGTACTTCTGATTGTGCTAATTCTTTAAAATCTTCTTCAAAATCCTCTTTGTTCGTTGAGATATCTTCTTCAATTGAAGTTGAACTTGTTTGAGATTGGTCTTTAGTCTTTTCTTTTTCTTCAGATTTCTTAATTTCTTCTTTCGAGCTATATTCCTCACAACAGACACTGGGGTGAAACATTGAACATATTCCTGTTTGTTGTTCCAAAACAATATCTTTTTCTAATTGTTGAGTTGAGTTTTGGTTTTCTTTTGTCATGACCTCTTTTGAACCATTTGTTACAATACTTTGATTTTTATTGTCAGTAGTAAGTATTGTCCCTTTTTCTATACCTGTCATTTCTTCTCTCTTTTTAATTACAGAGGATGAGGTATCAAACACAGACAATGAGGGTGTTTTTGTTTCAGTACTAAAGTAATTTTTAGATGAAGTGTTATTCTCTAAAACAACATCAGTAGAAGGCATTAAACAAGCAATTGACAGGTCGTTAGTTTCATTTTGAGTAAATGAAGAACAAGAATCAAAATTAGTTTGACATCCACAAGACATGGTATATTTTGTGGTTTTGAGTTTAGTTCTTTTTCTATATTTCTTCAACACCTTTTTACTAGAAGTATGGTAACTTTTCTATTAACTTCCTTTATACTCATCATTTCTTCATCATTTCTTCAAAAACTCCATAATTAAGTGATGCTATACATAACAAAATATAATTAACTAAGAACTTAAAAACCAATCTAATGAAAACAAAACAATTAGGATATAATGAAATTATGATAGTATCAATGTATTTTAATGATATTAATGATTTTATTAATTTAGAATTAGGTGTTAAAAGATTTAGAGGAAATATGGAACGATTTCATTTTAATCCAATTCCTTTAAATGAATATTCAAGAAAATTATTTACTAATATTGAAACATTTCATATTTATAATAAATATGATGAAATATTTGATGATGGAAGAATATTTAAAGAAATAATATGGTATACAGTAGATTATTCAACATATTTAAAAGAAAAAGAACAAGGAAATGAATGTAAAATTATTGAATATACACAATATGATAGAGAAAAGTTTGGAGATAAAATACCTTCAGAAGTTAGTTCTCTTGGAGATAACTGTTTTGAAGGGTATGACTCTCTTAAAATGGTAATACCTTCTTCTGTAACAAAAATTGGAATGAAATGTTTTAGTACATCACAAGTAGAAGATATTTCAATTAGTGATACTGTTATTTCTCTTGGAAATGCGTGTTTCTCCTTCTGTACAAATTTAAAAAAAATTCAATTACCAGAGAATATTTGTATTATCCCAAATGAATGTTTTGCATGTTGTACAAATCTTTTAAATGTGATAATACCATCTTCTGTCTCTTCACTTGGAAATAATGCCTTTTTATTTTGTTCATCATTATCAGAATGTAAACTACCTATTTCATTAAGTTCTATTCAGAATAATTGTTTTAATGGTTCCACATCATTAACATCACTTTCTTTACCAAGAAATATATCCAACATTGGAATGAAAGTATTAAAGGGATGTTCTTCTCTCAAGAGTCTTAATGTGCCTGAGCCATATTATTTATTTAATAGATTTGTATTGTTCAATAGAGAACTTATAGGAATCAAACTACCAACAAGCCTCAAAGAAATCAATCATACTCATATCCAATTTGATTTACATCAAAATCATTTTGAAATTCCTTGTAGTTGTATTTCAATAGGAAGTTGTTGTTTTGCACAATGTCACTCTTTGAAAAGTATAACTATTCACTCTAATATCACCACTATCAAAGATAGGGCATTCTATGAATGTAATAACTTGACAAGCATATTTCTTCCTAATACAATTCAAGAACTCAATGAATATACATTTGATTCATGTATTTCACTAAGTTCTATTCATTTTCCTAATAAACTAGAGAGAATTAAAGAAAGATGTTTTCAAGGCTGTCTTTCTCTGAAGCAGATTGACATCCCAACAACAGTAACTTTTATAGGAGATGAAGCTCTTCCAACTAATGATGAATAATGGTTTTATCAAATAGAAATAACTAGTGTTTTAGACATTTGTTAACTCAACAAACATTTTGTTTATCAAATTTATCTTTCAAGAAACACGTTTACACTCTAAATACATTTAAGAATATTTATAAGAATTCTACAAGTTTGTGTGTTGTAATTGAACACTTTTTTTTAAAAAATAGCTTATTATTGAAGTAGTTCGAATATGTGTAAAATGAGATTAGAGTTATAATCTTACATTATTAATACATTTAATTTAATATAATTGAAGTGTTTTTTTGTGTTATAAGTGGTAGTGATATAACCTGGCAATAATATAAATTAACATTTAGCATGAATTTATTAAGAGAGAGTATATGTGAAGTATCAGATATAAAGAAGTATTTTGGTTAGTTTAAATAACAAAATGAACAAAAAAATTATCATATACTAGATAGCAATTTAAAATAATGTTTAAACAATAAAACACTATCATAAATGATTTCGAAATACAAAGAATGATTATAAAATATTCTTCATCAGACTCTGTTGTAATTTTACATATAATGATCCTCTAGTAAAAATAACATAATACGTCATAACTTAGATTCAGACATTATTATTATTACAATACATTTAATGTCATAAGTAATTGAGTTATGTGATATCTTTTCTTTTAGTAAGCACACTTAAATAAAATCCAGACATGTGGACTTTGTTCTCTAATTCTTATGGATATTAATGAATAATTAATTTTAAATTTAATTCAGTATAAATTAGTGGAAGTACTCTCACATTCTTTTTGATCTAATAGTATTCAATCAGATATAAATTATGTCAATTTCATTTTTCATTTTAATAACTACTATTATTTTCAAGTGGATTTCTTTCTGATTATTAGTAAATGGATTTACACAAATAACAAAACATGATTCAATACATTCTTCACTGAAGGAGTTTCTTTTCAGTATTTTCTGAAATTTGTTGTGGGTTTATTTGTTTTCTGATATTTTAATGCATTGTTGAGACTCTTTTTATTTTTCTTTAATACTATTGGTTTCAATTTATTTGTATTGTTAAATTCAGAGAGTTATGTTAAAAAGAGAATAAGTTTGATTGTTAATGAAAGGGAGAATTTGAACAAAGAATATCATTTCTATTTTAAATATTGTTTGCCTTTTGGTCAAAGTAATGATGTTTTTTACCCAAGTTAATAATGGTATTTATTCAAACACATAAAGTATAACATTTATTTAGTGATGAAATTGATGATTATTTCTTTAGAACGAGTGTTTATTCTATATTATTATTAAAGAAGAATTCAGTTTACAAAATTTCCATATCTATTTTGAGTTAGTTAGAATGAACACATAATTCCTTGTTTTGATTATTTGTAACACAACTAATTATAAATTTCTTTATCATTATAATGCAAGAGAAGAGCATGAGTGTATTGATAAACTAAGAAAAGAAAGTGATAGAAAAGAATGACAATATTATGGTAATCTATAAAGTATTTTAATCTTACAATACATAATACTTTTATTTGTGTATTTATGAATGAATTTTGAATAACTAAATATCTAAGTTAATAGAGATATTCAAATAATTTGAATATTTTCATTGACAAAGAGATAAAAAGAATATAACTATTATGAACATAATAAGTGTTTCTCTTTATATTTTATTTATTAAATACAATTTTAGTATTTTTAATTCATAAATTTACATTAATTACTAAGAAACTCTCAGTCAACATATAATATCTTATTGAATTAAAATAATTTCTTTTTGAAAATTAATAATACTGTTAGAAAATGTAGTTATATGCTTCTTTTCTTCTTTGTACATACTCATTACAAAAAGTCATTATTATATTGTTGGTTGATGGTGTTTGTTTATCCAATTAAACATTAACATTGGTACTTTCAACAACAATTGTCAATACATTTGTTGTATATTAGTTTGTTCTATTAAGTTCAGTGTATTGTATTGACAAAACAGAAAAAGAAGCAAAATCCAAACCAAAGAACTTTGTTTGTGGTACTTCAGTAAACATAGTTTATTGTTTTAGAACATGTTTCTAATAAATAATAGATGAAATACTTCTAAAATAAACTTCAGATAAATTGGAAATTGATCATAACAATTATAAGATCAAAACGAACACATTTATAACAAAAACCATAACAGTAAATTATTGGAATATAAATAAAGTATTTGACTTTGTTAATTCTCTCTAATTACAAATTTACAATATTATGTTATATTACAAACAACTTAAACACATTTTTTATTATTCAACAGGTCTATCATTATTTCTGTAAAAAGATTGAAACTTGTTATAAATCTAACATCTATTTTTTATTATAATAAATCATACATTACTATTTTTTACTATTTAAACTAAATTGCATTTATAAAGATAGAATTTACTCAAAAAGTAGAACAAATCTTTTGAAATAATATGTAAGTGATAGAATCAACCAAACCATATGTAATCAGATTTGAGAGAGTTGATTATATTGAAGTATTTATAAATCTATGACAATAATAAAATTTATTGCATCTAACTTTAAATGTTAATAAAAATAATTTGAAAATATTGACAATACTTAGTATATTAATAACTTATCTAGTTAAAAGCTGTAAAAAAAAACATTAACAACAATAAAATTGACTCAGCTCAGTTATTGTATTGTTTGTATCTAATAAACTTTTTTTTTTCTAAAAAATAAGAGTTTCTAGGTATTTTTATTATAATTTTAATTGTGAACTATTAAGTAAAAACATATACTCTTTCCTTTGCTTTCAATGAGTTAATGAAACATTAGAAGTTCAAAACTAAACAACAAATGTTTTATTATAAAAGATAAGTTTTAAATATTCTAGAATCAAAAAATGAATTTCTAATCTTTATAATTTATAACGATTAATAATATCTAATAATACTATTCTCATTCCTCCAATCCCTTGGTGATGTAATTCTGCTCCTATCTGTTGGCAAATGACATCCCCCTCTCCAGCATGAATTGAATTTTCAATTAGACGTAGTGTTTCTTGAAATTGATTAGAACGAATATTATCAATGATAACAGAAATTAATTGATCACCTGTTTTTCCTTCAATCTCTTCAGGAGGACAAAGGAGTGCTAATTCCATCACATCTTCAGGATGTTCTTTTAGTGTTTCTTCAATTGTTTTAGAGTTGAGTATTTTATTTAAAGAAATATCAGCAATGATAATTTTTCCATTTTTGATAGTATATATTGGCTGAATTTGTACTGGAATAGTTGTGTCAAAAGGTTGGATTTGTTCTCCATTAAATACAGCTTGCATTAATTCAATCCCTTTATAAAAACTATTAATGTCATTTTCTTGATTCCAGAAGAAAAATGTTCGTTTAGTTTCTTTTATCTGAACATATCCACTATTTTGTTGAGGTATAGTTTGTACAATAACATCTCCAGGAAATACAATCATCTCAGTGTCTATAATTGGAGTTCCTTTTTTTCCATTGAATGTATCATTCCTTCTATGAC